GCACACATGCCAACCAGAACTTCACACCTGCAAAATGGGGTTGAAATATATTAACACCATGTTGACCAACTGGCTATGATGGCGTAAGCCTCTCGTACCCGTTAATACGTTGTCAGCCGCCACTGGCCATGAGGTCTAGATAAAAGCTTCGCCGATGCCGACAACTCTATCTACCAAACAACAACGTCAAACTCAACACGCCGATATGCTCCTCGTTGTCAAATCCCACCCACCTGTCATTCCTACACTCTCACAACACCGTGTTGACAACACGACCTTCTTCGACACCATGACAACCAACTCAGCACCAAAGCAGAGGTCATGCCTTCTTACTAGCTTGGTAAAGGGAGTAACTCTGATTTGGTATCCTCGATCTTCACTTTTGCACCCAATTTCGCGGGCGAAGTGAAGTCCTTTATCATTCAGATCTCAGAGCAGGTCTCAGCAGATCTCAGATCTGAGCAGCACAACACCCAGGCTCGGGCCACATTGGGCGACAATGGCAGCATCCTCTCCGTACCATTTCTTGGAAGACTTCAGCTCAACTTCTAGGTGACCTCCCTCACCTTTCCTCAACAACAACGCCACACTCGTTACCCACTCGCATCCTTTTCGCTCGCTTGATTTTGGCACCGCATCGCAATGGACGGTAATTGGAGTTACCCAGTCACCGGGACTATCGATGAAAGTTACACCAAGGCCCTCTTCAATCGCTATCGCACTGAGAGTGTTGAATGGAGGCCGACGAACCAAGAGGTGAGAGCACACTATATGTTTGCACCATTGCTTTTCTAATGTTTGAGCAGGAAATGGCCAAGGCTGTGAAGACATCGACCGTTAAAATCTTGAGGTTTCCATACGCACCATCCTCATGGAGAGAAAGAGCTTGTGCTTTGATCAAATTGGGCTATCCAGACTTGGCGACTTTTGATGCCTTCAGGGCCGTTGTGCTCTCTGAAAGACTGGAGCTTGCTGTCCATGAACAGCAGCATCAAGATGCCCTCTTCGTTCTTGCCAATGCCCTCTTCTTCGCCAACTCGTTCTCCGAGTGCCTCGAAACTTTGAAGGAGATGGGTACAGGTGAGAAAGCCGAGATGTTGCGCAGGTTTGCTCGACAAGGACTGGAGCAGGAACGACAATTTCACTTGCGGAAAGGTCTCTCAGCAAAGGCGACCGAGGAAGAACTGCGTGCAGGCACGGTTCGATGGGCGATATACCCATGGACACGAAGGGATTTCGAACACCGATCCGAAGAAAGTATGGTGCCCCTGAAAGAAGGTGTGGAGAGAGCAGCACAAGGTTCGTGTGCTATAAAGAGGTCGAAGACGATTCGGACTCCTGTGACGCACGAATGCCGTACATCCGGCCCAAATGAAGTTTGGGGCATGTTTGCTCGGCAGGACGTGGCGGCAGGAGTAACACTTTTCAGGAACAGCACCGCCTATGCTGCCTGTAGCCAGGAGAACCGCTGTACCAATTGTGGCGACAACTCTTCATCCGATGGCGTCCAGCTTTCATGCTGTTCTCTGATATTCTGCACCAGGACTTGTATGGACGCTTTCCTCGGGCCATCGCACAACCCAAGAGACTGCATCGGTCCACCTACTCTCGCAAAGATGCGCAATCAAAGCGTTCGGAAGATATGCAAGATCAAGCGTGCCCAAGTCGATGGCAAAGCAGAGATATCAGACAAGGAAAAGGTCAAAACCAGTTTGCTCCAAAAAATTCTGGCTTCAGCACACCAGCACTTTCAAACAAAAAGCCAGCACCCGCTCACCTATCCCTTAATCCGCAATCTCACGATCGCCCGCGGCGCAAACGAGGCTGTGGAGTTCTCCCTCAGAAAAGACGTCGTCAGTCCCATGTCCATGCTCGAATCCATGGGCATCGACATATTCACCACCCCACACTTTGACGCTTGGGTCTTGCAAACAATCCAAGCTCGCTTGAGAGCCAATACCTGGGAGAGAAACGACGACGGTGTTGAGTTCTTGGGTCTCAGTCCACTGTTCAGCCTCTTCAACCACTGCTGCAAGCCAAATGTCGGGTGGAGTTTTGGGAAAGACGGAACGACCATTGAACTGAAGACTTTGAGACCAATCCGAGCCGTCGAGGAATGTTATATCTCCTATCTCCAGCCTGAACATTTGGCTCTTGGGAGGCGTGAAAGAAACAAGAAATTATTGCACTGGTTCCCGGAGTGCCAATGTCTCGAGTGCAAGGAAGAGAAAGAGCGTGAGACGGTACAGAGAAGTGGAACTCGAGTTCGGCAGCCGCAGAAGAAACGACCGCGCGTGGCGGACGACCCAAGGAGGGGCCCAACGAATGCCAGGAGACAAGCAGCAAATACAGGAAAAGAGCCAGTCCAACTCCTAAGTCCAGACCCCGACTCCGAAGGCGAAGAAGACGTACGTGCTTTCCTAGCAACGATCAAGGTCGACGACGATAAAGACCCCGATTTCGCCGATGCAAACCTTTCAGATCCAGAAAGCGGCTATGAGAGTAGTGCGCCAAAATCAGGCAAGAGACGACGAAGACGCTGAATGATACAGGAGAAGATGCAAAGTATTGGACGAATGAGGTTGATTGTGGTTATCAGGTTTTTGGAAGCGGCTGACCGATTTGAGGACATTAGTGTGTTTTACCGTTACATTTTTCGCATTGAGAGCGCGCGCTATTTGGTGTTATTACTGGATGGAAAACGTTTAGGTGGACGACTTACGACAGCGCAAGATGAGTTTCAGCAGAGGATTGAGACATGACTCCTCCATAAATCATATCACAACATTGATATCGTCCAGATATCTCTATTTCGTCCAAGTCGTGAATCTCACCTACTCACGCCCCTCTCACCAATTATCAAAATTCCCAAAACCACCAGTCTTAGCCTTCTTCTTCACGGGTTCCGGTTCCACCTCATCCTCCCACATCCCCACAATCTCATCCTCTTCTCCTCCCTTTTTCGCCTCAAGCGCAGCCTTCAAATACTTGCCCACGCCCACACTCCCCGTCTGCTCCACCTTCCCATCAGCTCTAATCCTCTTCCCCGTCCACGTCGTCCTATCATCCTCCGTACCGCCCGCTCTCCTAATTTCCTCCTTCTGCTTCTCCGATTGATCCTTCGCCGCCCTCTGTTTCTGGAATTCTTCAAACGGATCCACGAATACCACCACATCTTCCAATTTTATATCTTTGAGAGGGCGGTCTTTATCATCTGTCTCCACGTTCTCGAGTTTAGATAGGACATCCAGTCCGCCAACCACTCGACCGAAGATGGTGTGTTTGAGATCGAGATGTTTGGCCGCGCGGTAGGTGATGAAGAATTGACTCGAGTTTGTATTCTTGCCTTTATTTGCCATGCTCAATGTACCTCGCGTATCATGTTTCAGCGGTCCCTCAAACTCATCCTCGAAATTTTTGCCCCAACAGCTCGTCCCACCTCTCCCAGTCCCCGACGGATCACCACCCTGAATCATAAAATTACGGATATTCCTATGGAAAACGAGATTGCGGTAGTATCCCTTTTTCGCCAGTTGTATGAAGTTCCAGACGGCTTTGGGAGCGTGTTCGGGGTAGAGTTCTATATTTAGGGAACCGTGGTTTGTTTGCATTCGTGCGTAGCCTGTCGTTTTTATGCGTTTGGGTTTGAGCATGTATTCTTCGTCTGTGAGGAGGGCGAGTTCATTCGAGGTTTCCGGGGTTAGACCTGTGGATGTGAAGGACATTGCTGCTTTGCCGGATGTGTATTGGGCTGCATTGTAGGGTGTTTTCTTCGTTTGAATTGAGGAGGGGGCTTTCTTCTGGATTACTGATGATTTCGTATTCCCTGATCGCGCATCGTTGGTTGCTTTGTCGCGTTCTGCTCTTGCTCTTGCTACCGCCTCTTTTGCCTTGATGATCTTGGCCGAGCTTCCCAGAGCTGCTGTGTTCATGTTTGCTGCTGGATCGTCTCTTTCTGCTTCTTGCTCCGGCGTCAATGTGCTCACGCCTTCCTTGAGATACTTGAACGAGCTCAGATCTCTCGACTCGAGACTCTGCGGATCCTGTATCGTGATAATGTCCTTCCGACTGAACTCCTCATCTGTTACTAGGTCCCGCCAATTCTTCGCCTTGATATTCAGCCTCTCCACTGTATCCCAAGCAAACACATTCCCAGTATTCCCCAATGCCACAATATGCGTGTTGTCCGTAAAGACTTTGTACGTAACGGGATCCACGTATTCGCCATCATCGTTTTTCGTAAAGTTCAATTTGATCAGCTCCGAGCTCTTCAAAGGTTCGCCATTGACTGGATTCGTGCCGTGTTTCTTTAACCAGGGAAGGATGTTCGTGAGGTCGAATATGGAGCCTGCTGGAGTACAGACTGGGTGACTGAAGGGTTGAAGACTGAGGGCGCAGTAGTTGTACGGTAACCGTTTGAAAGATGCGCCGTCAACTTTGGACTTGCCAGAGGTTCCAGCGCCAGAGCTGGCACCAAAGCTGTCGCCGGACGCCCATTCGGAGTGCGTGATGTAGAGTTTATCGGTTCCTGATGGGAATTATTAGTTTGTGACAGACGTAAGCAGAGTACCTGTTTCTTACCTTTGCCCATGGCTGCGTTTGGAAAAAGGTGTGATGTAGAGTCGCGTCAAAAGTGTAGGTCGCGAATGATGAAAAGTCGCGGCTGGCTGGTGTTACACGCGCGACAAATGCGGAGTTATCCCACGTTGTCCACGATGCCAAAAATAGACAGAAGGCCAACTTCAAGCCTTGCGCTCTCAAGTCATGGCTGATCAGGGGTGGAGCTGAGAGAAACAATGAAGGATATTGATACCTCTAGGAGCCATGATACAAAACCAAATTGTGTATTACTATAACTATATTGTTTTAGATTTCGAAATCGCATTTAAGGAGCATAATGAGAACATGAACATTTGATTGTTCTTCTCTGTATCAAGCCGCTGACTTTACTTGGTGGAAAAAGAAAGATATGCAACAAGCACAACGGCAAAAAGTCAACACGACGCCCGCAGGATTCGAACCTGCGCTCCCGAAGGAATTTGATACCCTAATTGAATCCAGCCAATGCCAAATCGTTCGAGTCAAACGCGTTAACCACTCCGCCAGAGCGCCGTCAAATTGACATGGCTGGTTTTGGCGCAACGATTTACAAATATACCAAAGCATCGGGGACCACTAGGGGGAAGGGCTGACACATTAAACTAAACCCCCTTTGGTGCACTGCACTCTCTCTCTCCAGTCTTCGACTTTTGGCTCTCTCATCCGGGTCCCCTCTTACTAGTAGAATCTCCCTTTGAATGCCTCTTCTCATCTCAAGCTTAAAGTATTCTTTGATTCCCTGACACGGCCAGATAAAGTTTTTTCGAACAGGCTTCGTGTGGCTCGCTAATACGACTCTGCAATCAAGGCTTCTGTGTCCATTTCTAGCAAGCTCGTATCACGTCTCGGAGTCGACTCACCTTGTCAATCCATGAATACAATTGGCGATGATTGGATGATAGTAACTCGTCCAGCGCCGGTAGGTATTGCAAAAAGGCTGGCGTAAACGTACGAATGAGGTTGCGCACCTCTCTCGAACATCATAAGAAGTGGGTAAGACTTTGGAACATCGTCAAAGTTCCCTAACAATGGGTCGTTATAAGACTTTCCTATATTCCTGTCAAGAAACCCTGTTACCCCTGGAAGCGAAAGTCGTGGCATCATCGACCGAGCCATCATCATCGCTATGTCCGAAACGGACTTTTGGACATAACCCTCGCTATACGAGCCCAACACAACCGCTGACGATACAACACTTCGCAGCATGGCGACGGGAGATCTTCAGTAATGGGAAACCAGTTGAACTTAGCTGCGGAATAAGTCAGCATCCTACAGCCAGAACAAGTAGGCATCAAACTCTCGCTTTTCTGGAAGATATTATCAATTAGACAAAAAAGTTCGGAACGGACATCGGAGAAAACGAGCATTCCGTATCATGTTGCTTCAAAGTAAAAAAAAAGAGGAGAGAGAAACCGCCATCTCTACCCCCTGCCTTCTCTTCTCGAAACCCACAAGCGGAACATATCAAGCCAAGCAACGGATTGGACGGAAAGCCATACTAAGCCCAAGAGCGATAGAAAGTAGATCATTGTGGTGAACTTAGAGATCATGGCTATGAATCGTTGGCGATAACCAACAGTTCACGAAACAACGAGAAAAAAGAAGACATGTCGCCCAATCCCAACCCATACCACTACGATTAAGTACACCCGGTGTTCATCTCCTCTCCATCGCCCTCTCCACACCTCACAAACTCGTCCCTCAATGTTAACCAGGTATAATTGTTCCAATCGTGACTGCACACACTCCATCAAGATCCAGGCCCACCAACTCTGTCGCACGTACATGCAATCTTAATTCACTGATCGCCATCATTGATAACCGACGATGAGCTAAGAATGGAAGTGGGAAATAATGGATCACATGAATCGGTACCGAAGCAGAAGTGGAGGAAAGGTCCGTGCCGGCAAGCCACGTGTCTGGATATATTGAGTTGTTTCATCTAAGCAAGGGACCAGAGTTGCATGGAACGCGTAGATGTCTTGGGGTAACCTGGTAGTAGATAAGGAACTGGTGTTGGAGGAGTGGGTGACGGAGTCAGGAAAGGCAGGATGAGATGTGGAACCTTAATTGTAGACCGCGAATGGCGTGAGGAGAAAACGCGACAAAAGCGATCGGACCGTAATACCGGATCACGTACACAGATCGTTGGAGTGTATATCATTAAGGTTCAAGCCATTCCACAACAACTAACTAAGCAGCAAAAATCATCCGGAACATAGCCATATTGCCACCAGCTGCAGCGTTGCTATGCAAACATTAGAAAAGACAACATCACCATTCGATCCATCGGAGAACTTACGAAGCTTTGGCCTTGGAGTAAGTGGACTCCATGACTACCAGATCGCCCTTCTTGACACTGACAGGATCGCAGGATTTCATGCTGACGATCGAGGTGCCCTCGTATGTAGCAGCAGAGTCGCAGGTGTAGTATGCCTTGGCTCGGTTGGCAGCTGAGGTGCTTTCGCCAGCGTGCCAGAACCACATCTTCATGGCAACACCACCATCGTCTGGATTCCTGGTATCAGCACAAAGTCCCGAATTGTTAGCAGGCCAAACTTACGCAGGTGACCCTTGCCGTACAAGAACTCGCCATCCTCTTCCCACGTGAGGACGTTGCTGACACTCGGTCCATTTGAATTGGGTATCACCGAGGCGGATACGAGAGCAGATCGGACATTCTTTCCCACAGTGCCTGGGATATACTCCAGCTCGTAGTTGACCTTGATAGACTGCGATTTCTGGCTCTTGTTGACGAGGACAACGTTGGTGGAGAAAGAGGTCGTTGGCTTCATCTGGTAGCCCGTAACCATTTTCTTTTCCTGCTTGGGACTGTAATACATGAACGGACTGTTACCATTGTCACCGCCAGCGCCAACGAAGCCGCCAGCCATGGCCAAGCTCATACCAGACGCCTTGAGGGGGAATTGAAGCCTTGGACCGTTGGTCAGGATGTGGTGGTTGTACACGACTTTCTCGTCCACGGGACTGCCGTCGGCAGCATTGGTCAAGTGAATCTGTCCTTCCAGAACGGTGCAATCGCCGCACAAGTCGCTGCCCCGGATCGAGATGGTTTCGCCATTGCCCATACCACGAACGGCACCGCCGCCCGGAGACAAGTTGAAGGCTGCGTTTGATCAGACTCTGGAGATCACTGGTTCATACTGGACATTCACTCACTTTTTGATAGTGTGAAGACCTTGCGTACTGCTCCAGGTTTTCCAGACTTTGCCACCAATCCCTCTTTGGGTGCGTTGGCGACAACACCTGCTGCAGCCAGTGGTAAGACTGACAGAAGAGCAAGGAACTTCATGGTGAATCTTCAAAGAGCGTATTGAGGTGAGGTGGAAAAGGGGAGTCTAGTTCGCACGAGAGAGCTTGCCAACGCTCTTAGGGTATATAGATGAGCAGTGATTTTCCTCATCATCATGATCTTATTTGTTCATATGCGCTCGTTATCGTTACAGCACGGACCGTGTCATCGGTGGGAAATAGCCATGACATGAAGAATCCGTGTGCGAAGCTTCACTTTACGTAGATTGGAACTTGCAAGTGATTGTCGTGCTAGGAACGGAGCGAATCTGTACTTGAAACAATATCAGGGTTTGGATGGAAGTATGAACAGAATGATGACTGAGGTGACCCGCAGCTCGTTTATCCTAGCCCTATGTTTCGCCAACAGTCGAAGACCGAGTATGACCCGTTTCGCCGGGCACCATCTCAGTGAGGGCTATATAGGCGTGGGAACGTGGGCGCGAGCAATGACAGCCCCAGCCATCGAACGGTATCTGAACCTAAAGAGGCACGCTTGCGAGACTCAAATACGGGCCCGTCAGGTGGGAGGTTTTGGGTGTGATTGAGCTTTCCTTGATTCTGTTGTTAGTGGAAAATTCGCCATGAGAGCCATCGCCGGTCACCATCAAATCGCGAATTTCCTGATCCACGTGCGAATGCCGAGCAGTGTCTGGATGATAGGTAACATCATCCATGGACGAGACGAGTCGGACCACCGAGTCCTGCACCACAACCTCCACAGCTAGACATGACGGGGAAAACGAGGCGTCCACCTGAATGAAACCAAATCTTGCATTTTCTTCCGCTGCTCTTCCAAGACGCAACGAAACAGATCACTCACGCTTAACAACTTGGATTCCCGGCAGTGGAGACGAAATCGGTGCATATGCACAACGGTTTCTTCTGGCCGGGAATCTCACTATCAACTTCATTAGCAGATGCGATCCGGAGTTCACCTTGGGCTCACAACTTACTGAGCGTTTTTATAGGTGCGCAGATTCTCACCGTACTGTGAATGAGCGCGACACTCGACAAGACAATTTGGGTCCCCATTATAGGTCACCTTCCACTTCACGTCGTCTAGTTTGACACACCCAAATCCCTCCTGGATGAAAAAACTGTTGGTATCGCTTTGACAGCATTTTTTTCCAATATGCCAGGCGTACGTGACGGTAGGTAGGAGTGCAATGACTGGTGTCAGGGTTGAGAACTTCATAGTGTGAATATAGGACGGTAGGGCTGGTTAGATTTGATGAATGCGAAATCGGAAAGTGTGGTGAATGTGAAAACGTGGTGAATGCGAAAGTGTGACGCTGCCATTTCCCTTATCTTTGGTGGTTGCCTATATTTGTCTTTGAAGTCGGCATTCAGTCCTTATTGTGGAGATCAGCAGAAAAAATGCTAGGTCCTTGATCACTGTAAGATTACTACGGAAGGGTTGTCTGCAAAAACACCCGAGGCGCTAGACAGGGGAGGTAACCGTCGAGCATCTGTCGTAAAGTCAGTGCTTTTGCCACTATAATAAGCCTAATCTCGGACTTACCTCGGATACGGCTTACTATCGGCTTACGAACCGTACTACCTTCGTCGCTATATTAACCTATCGTATATACTACTAAGCTAAGGTAAGGAAGTAGATATATTACTAGAGTAATAAAAGATTACTATTCTACTATAGAGATAGGTTTCTAGCCTTAATCTTACGATACTTTATACTATAGTATTAAGTTTTTTTACGCTAACCGTATTTAAATAATATATAAACTTAAACTATATAGTAATCGACTTAGATTACTATAGCTATCGTATTACTATAGCTATAGCTATCGCCCTCGGTATCTAATATATACGTATACTAGAGGCTTTATACTAGATTACGCGGCCTAAGGCCCTTCTACCTACCCGTTTACGCTACCGCGTAAAGCCTAAGCCGCGCTATATATTATACGTTACGGTAAGTAATACTTTTATTTTAAGGGTAATTCCGAGCGTAAGGGGCCTAACTATAAAGGCTTTAAGGGGGTCTTTAAGGGGGTAAAGGCTAAAAGTATAAGGGGGGTCCCAAAATCGTCTAAGGATAGTAAGTACGGTATTACTAGCTATAGTAGAGGCCTAGTTAGCAATATATAACGTTATAGTATTAGAGAGCCCGATAGAATTACTATAAACTATATATTACTAGTAATTAGTAACTTATTAAGCGTGTTTAAAGGTAGCTT